TTGCTTCGGATTCAAGGCAGTCCGACGGTGGCGGTGGCAAGCAATGCATCAACGACAGATTCCTTCATTCCCTCCCCTCTTGGTGTAGATTCCTTCTCTTTCCTTCCTCACCGACAAGCACTCATCCTCAAGAACCAACAAAGTCATCCTTCCCTTGCTTTGGATCCAAGGAAGTCTGACGGCATCTTTCCATTCCCTCCCTTGCTTTGGATGGCAGTCCGACGGTGGCGGTGGCAAGCAATGCATCACCGACAGATTCCTTCCTTCCCTCCCCTCTTGGTGCAAATTTCTTCTCTTTCCTTCCTCACTGACAAGCACTCATCCTCAAGAACCAACAGAGTCATCCTTCCCTTGCTTTGGATTCAAGGTAGTCCGACGACATCTTTCCATTCCCTCCCTTGCTTCGGATTCAAGGCAGTCTGACGATGGTGGTGGCAAGCAAGGGAATGGAAAGGCATCTGCCGCACTGCGGCGGTGGCAAGCAACGTCCGATACCTTAAAGGATGAGAAAAACAGCTGATCTTGGGTTGCTTTGCCTGTAATTTGTGGCAATCCAGACATCTTTTACGGGTACAATGTGTGGCCTTCACACCGACTACGTCTTCACCTGCTGCAACACACTTCGACGACGGAAGCGTCAATGCCGGATGGACAGCGCTGCTGCCCTCCTGGTCGTGGGAGTCCTACAAGGCCTCCTGGTTGTCAGAGACCCACAAGGCGTCCCATGTTTTCCTAATCTGATAAAATAAATAAGGGAAAGACCCAAAAATAAACGGCTAAGCCCTCATTTTTCATAAAATTGGTCCAATGGCGGGGAGGGGGGGGGCATTGGCCCCCTCATCTTAACACATAGCTCTTACCCCGATTTTGGCGACATCTGGGCCGATCATCTTCTCCTTTCCCATAGTCACCGCTGAACAATTAAACAAGAACAGGAAATGAGCAGAAGAAAAAACAGAGGAAGATGATGATCGAAGGCACAGTGGCGATGGCAAACCGTTGCTCACTGGAAGGCGCGAGGCGAGCTGAATTGCGGATGGTCGAAGATGCTCGCGCAGGGGAGCTGAATTCCAAATCGGTCGAAGATGCTCGCGCAAGGGAGCTGAATTCCGAATCGGTCAAAGATGCTTGCGTAGGCGAGCTGAATTCCGAATCAGGCGAGCTCAATTGCCAATTATAAATACCCGCCCGAATCCGACCGTCAATCTTAGGAGGCGAGCTGAGTTGGGGGAGGAGGAGGGAGGAAGGGCAAGGATCGGGGTAGCCCAATCTTGCGGAGGAGGGGATCCCGACCGTCTGGAGGAAATTAACCATTTGCAAAAAAACAGACATGTGTAGATTTGTTAACTTATTTCAGTAAACAGATATAATTAAGTGCAGGCATCACCTGAGATGAACGGAAGAAGCATCCATTTCTCCTCCAATCTTTTTTTGGACGGATGGACGGAGTAATAACAAAGGCTAATTCTTCAACAAATAAAGTAGTAGTAGAGAAAATAGACTTATCCGTAATGAGAAGGGATGTTAATATATATAAGATAATGTCTAGGCCGACTGAGAAGTCCGACGAGGCATGCTATTAGAGCGTCTCTAGTGTTTGAAGGCAACCCAGCCTCTAAGTTGGGTCCCACGAACTGCCTTTAAATTTTATGTAAAATGTTGCAGTGTGTTGTTGGCTTGCTGCCTCTAAGGTGGAGCCTATGTTGTGAATTTAAAAAATATTTAATATTTGAACCGATGTGCGCTGTTTCTCCTCCTCTTGCCTTATTCACCATCTGACTAGGAGGACGCATTTATTATTTTACTACTTGTGAGAGCTTTTTTCTTTTCTTTTTAAGAATCACTTGTGAGAGCTTGAAGGTTGCCTCTAGCCATCGCGTCGATGCTAAGCGCTTTGGGCTTGGACCCATCCTCCTAGCGTGGAATAGACAGCCACATGTAGAATGGCGGCCCAACAGTTTGCATAGGCAAAGCCAACGCCACCAGCCTGAAAGAAAACCTATGTTTTTTACTTAATTCATTCAAGGGAGAGATGCTAGCTAGGATAATCTACTTTACAAGTTCCTTGCCCTCTTATTTTTTCTATGAGAAACTTCTAGTCTATTTAATATGGAGGAGAAGGGGTTGGAGTGCTTCGGCCGAGAACGATGCTCTAGTGCAATGCTGCTATCGTTGTGCGGCTAGAGGAGAAACCGTGAATGGCCTCCGAGAGGCATAGCTCGTCGAACCACAAGGGGAACGGTAAAAGAGGGACTCGGAAATCTCTGAGGGCGAACCAACACATTCATTGAGGAATGCTAACATGGACCCAATTTTTTTTTCTGATCTAAAATAAATAAGGGGAAGACCCAAAACTAAATGGAATTTTACCAGGGCGGGAGAATGGGCCACGCCCAGGAGGCATGGGCAAGAACCGGGCCAGGGCCAGGCCCGGCCCGGACCCAACCACACAACAACGGTCGTCACCCACACCACATATGAGCAGAGCAGAGCATTCCCTCAAAAAAAAAAATGAGCAGAGCAGAGCAGTTTCGAATTGGGACGGCGGCTCCAAACAACACAACGCAAAAAGCAAAAACAAATCCAAATCCAAATCCACGCCGCGCGACTCCCTCTCCTCCATCCTCCTCTCGCAGGCAGGCGGCTCTCTCTCGGCCGGACCCGACCCCATGGAAGGCGACGCGGCGAGCGCGGCGGGGGACGACCCCATGGACTTCACCTGGACCGCGGGCTGGGAGGCAGCGCCGCCGGCCTGCGACGCCAGCCCCGACCCCGCGCCCAACCCGGCGCCGGCGCCGCAGGAGGCGGAGGCGGAGGCGGAGTCCATGATCCTCGTCTCCGGCCCGCGCGTCGCCGTCTCCGGCCTCAGGCGGGCCGACTGCCGCGCAGGTGCTGCTCCCCTCCCCTTCCCTTCCCTTCCCCTTGGCCGTTGCGCCGTCGTCCGTCCGCCGTGTCTAGGTTGCTCGGTTACGCCCGTGCGCATTTCCTTCGTGCCTGCTTGCTTCCTAGGATTCGCTCGCTGCTCCTCCCGTGTATGCCGTCGATTTGTCCCCTGCTGCCCGTGAATCGCCAAGTGGATCTGGTTAGAGTCCCTGACTTGTCTCGGATTCATAATAAATAAACCCTAGGAACTCAACTGTACTGCCCCCAAATCTCATTTCTGTTGCTAGGTTCAGGCTTACCTTTCTGAGCTCATTTCACACGCAATGACTAGTACTCTATTACTCCCTGCTAAGATTGTGGAGGAATGGCCAGGCTTGCCTTTCTGATTCTGTTGCTAGATAGATTCAGGTTTTTACAAGAGCCTTCTTCCACGCTTCAAACAAATGGCCAAGCTCGCCTCTCTCACGTTATTATTTCACACGCAATAACTACTAGTCTATTGTTCCCATATAATAACTCTAGTAAACCTTCGTCTCGTAATGCTTTTGTTAGCTCTGTCTGTCTCAGGTTATTTTCTCATTACCCCTCTTGGTGCTTGTGCTCTCTCTCAAGCAGGTGAATGTGTCCTGTTCGTCAACGCCGGCGGGTGCGCCATCCAATCCGAGGATCCCTCTGCAAACTTGTTTTCCAGCGACTCTTTCTTTCAAGGAGGGGAGTCGATAGAGACATCCGAGAACATAGTCCAAGGCGGCGACTATCCCTCGCTCTACAGCTCGGCACTCTACGGCGATTTCAGCTACAGATTCGACGGCCTTGCCCCTGGAGACTATTACCTGGATCTGCATTTCGCGGAGATAGTGCACACTGCCGGGCCAACATGAATCATATCTTTTGACGTCCTCGTGCAACAAGACAAGGCAAGCTCACTCACTTGTTTCTCTCATAAATTTTGTTGCATGCTTTCCTTATCCACATTTCGTGGCTCAAACTGTCTGCCTTTTTGTTCACAGATTTTGTCTGAACTTGATGTGTTCAAGGTGGTCGGAGGTAACAGGCCCCTTCAGGTGCTTGACATCAGGGCTTTTGTTGGGAGCAATGCTGCCATCACCATCAGCTTCAAGGGAGTAAGAGGAAACCCCATGGTTGTGGCATCTGCATTCGGAAATCCCCAGCAACACCAGGTAGCTGGTTTATTTTAGATGCAAACATTGTATGTGCTCATTCACAAGCTTGCATTCCTTTCCCGTCGATAAATAATCTTTGCGTTGAACATGCAGCGGCAAAGTTAGGTACGCGTGGGAGTGGCTTATGCAAAAAATGCTTAACTGATGTTGAGATTTCTTCACCTATTCAGGTCAGTTTTTCTCACAAACTGTTTTACCATCCTATCTCATGTATGTAATCCTGATACATGATCAATGTACCCAAATTGCAGAAAAGGACAGCTAAACTGATCTCAAAGTACGAAAAACAGATCGAGGAGCTAACCAGCCAGTGCTCCATCAAGTCCGACGAGTGCTCCATGGCGTGGTCTTTAGTAGAATCTACCAATCAAGAACTTGACAGGCTTAAGATGGAGCTTCACCAAAAGCTTGTGCAAACTGATAATTTTGGTAAGTACCAGACTATTGCATTAAGCATCGTCCTATCCTAGGTTTGCTTATATAGGTGTATGATTGTTCTAATATATATTATAATAACTTGCAGAACAAGTCCTTGACACACAAACGGACCAACTAAGAAAAGTTTCTCAGAACTACGAAAATGACAAGAAACTATGGGCTGCTGCCATATCTAACTTGGAGAGCAAAATCAAGGTAATGCTCTGATTTACTGTCTGCAAGATCAAAACAACCACAAGAAATGGTAAATGGTTGCTGTAGCTGCTGCTAATTGTATCTTCGTAATACTCAGGCCATGAAACAAGAGCAAGCACTGTTATCTCTTGAAGCACACGACTGTGCGCACGCGATTCCTGATTTGAGTAAGATGATTGAAGCTGTTTGAGCCTTAGGTAATACCTGACTCTGAAGTGGGATTGTTACACAGCTTTTCAAGTATTTAACAAAGCATTGCATGTTTTTGGTATTGCAGTTGCACAGTGTGACGATCTGAAAATGAAGTACCACGAGGAGATGGCCAAGAGAAAGAAACTTCATAATATTGTCCAGGAGACAAAAGGTGCCTATTGCCCCCTCTGTATTCAGATGCTTACACTCATTTCCAGAATTTGGTCGGGATAGTGACTCTGGCTATCTCTTTTATTTCAGGAAATATCAGAGTTTTCTGTAGATGCCGCCCCTTGAGCAAAGTTGAGACATCGTCAGGGTACAAATGTGTTGTAGATTTTGATGGAGCAAATGATGGTGACATTGGGATTATAAATGGAGGAACAGCAAAAAAGACATTCAAGTTTGACAGAGTCTACACACCAAAAGATGACCAAGGTATCTCTTGGTACTATGGAGCCTGCATTAGCTTTTTGTTGTCTTTCACACCTGTTCTTACAATGCAAATATTGCTAATTCTAGTTTATACTTCCAAATAGTGTTGGAGTTTTCAATCATAAATTTTTCTTTGTTTGTCTAATATACAAGTTGTACCCATGAACAGCTGAGGTTTATGCCGATGCATCTCCACTAGTCACGTCAGTGCTAGATGGATACGATGTATGCATCTTTGCATACGGACAAACAGGAACTGGGAAAACCTTCACCATGGAAGGGACTGAGAGGAACAGAGGAGTAAACTATAGAACTCTCGAGGAGTTGTTCAAGATTGCTGAGGAGAGAAAAGACACTGTCACGTACAACATATCTGTTAGTGTGCTTGAGGTGTACAATGAACAAATCAGAGACCTTCTTGCAACATCCCCTTCATCTAAGAAGTACAATCTCTTTCCTTTAGTACCCTTCATTTTGTTTCACAATAGCTCACCTAAGAAGTACAACCACTTTCCTTTGGCACCGTTCATGTTTTGTTCACAATATTACCATGTTGTGGTAACCTGTATACCTTTGCATATGTAGGTTGGAGATCAAACAAGCAGGTGAAGGATCCCATCATGTGCCCGGCATAGTTGAGGCCAAAGTTGAGGACATAAATGAAGTTTGGGATGTCTTACAAACTGGAAGCAATTCGAGGGCTGTAGGGTCAAACAATGTGAATGAACACAGCAGTCGCTCACACTGGTTGGTCATAACTAACATTATTTTTCATTTCTCCATGGAGTACCTTCCTGCTTGTGGTAAAAATGGTTTGACCTTTATCATTTTTTTCAGCATGCTTTGTATCATGGTTAGAGCAAAGAACCTGATAAATGGGGACTGTACAAGAAGTAAGCTTTGGTTAGTTGATCTTGCTGGAAGCGAGCGGTTAGCCAAGACAGACGCGCAAGGTGATCGGCTCAAGGAAGCACAAAATATCAACAGGTCGCTTTCTGCTTTAGGGGATGTCATTTCTGCTCTTGCTTCCAGAAGCAGCCACATTCCTTACAGGTTTGCACTCTGAGTCAGTAACGGGTTTGCACCTATCAGCTCCTGTTTTCTCACTGTCTTGATGCTTTTCTTCTGCCCAGGAATTCCAAGCTGACGCACTTGCTCCAAGACTCTTTAGGTAACTTGATCTGTTTGTTGCTGTGGAACAAATACCATATCAACAATATACCAAATATTAACCATTTCTGTTCCTCTTGCATTCTCTCACTTGGCTACGTGATTAATTTGCTCTTTTCTGTTCTTCTCCACAATTGCGGTAACAGGAGGGGATTCGAAAGCCCTAATGTTTGTGCAAATTAGCCCATCCGACAGTGATGTGTCGGAAACCTTGAGTTCGTTGAACTTTGCAAGCCGTGTCCGTGGTATAGAACTGGGCCCAGCAAAGAAGCAGGTGGACACAGCCGAGCTTCAAAAGGTCAAACAGATGGTGAGTGTCGGTATTGCCTTCTGCTGAAGCTTCTTAGTTCTGCGCCTGCTTGAAGCTGAACTGATGGGTATTTCTGCTGGGTGAACGTGTGTCAGCTTGAAAGGTCTAAGCAGGAAGCCAAGCTTAAGGAGGAATCTTTGAGAAAGCTGGAAGAGAACTGTCAAAATTTAGAGAGTAAAGCCAAGGGAAAAGAGCAGCTTTACAAAAACTTGCAAGACAAGGTATGTGCAATTGAGGAGGCTAACACTTCAGTTTCAGATATCTGACTGAATCTTGTGTTGATTCTTCTAGACTGCTTTTCTTCACTTGTAAATTGTGCCTGACAGACTTTCTGTAATAACTTGAAGGTGAAGGAGCTTGAAAGCCAACTAGACTCTAAGACGCATTCTCAAATTACGTCGGAAAAGCAGCAGTCAGCTTTCTGGAAAACTTAAGGAGAAGGAAGAAGCATGTAGGTAATGTAGGAATTGGAAGTGGTTAATTAATGTCGTTAACAGCTAGTAATTGTGTAAGGAAAGGCAGATAATAATGCTATCCTCTTGCAGATAGTGGAGTTGGAGCGTAAGCTTGGACAGCAGCACCAGTCAGACTCTGACGTTGCAGCTCTTAAGCAAATGGTACAGAACTCAACTGAATCTTTTACCTGGATAACAATCATCAGTAAGTGGGCATTATTATTAACAAGAGACTTGGATTGATTTGATTATGTACCTTTTTCTTGTTTCAGATTGAGGAGCTGGAGGTGAAACTAAAGGAGCAGGAACAGCAAAGATCAGCTGCAGAATCAAAGGTTATTTTCTAGCTGCATCTGCACGTATTTGGTTTCTTTGATCATCCATCCTGGTGTAAATTCTCAAACCAACGGGTAGCTGACACTTGTATATTATTCATCATCATTCCTAAAAAATGTGCAGGCAATGGAAATGGGGCAAGAACTCTTGGAAGCACAGAAAACAGAGTCAATGCTTCAGAGCAAGGTGGTTAGCCTTTACTCAGAGCTCTGCTCTCATTCTTGTCTTACATTTGGAGGGCACTTGTTAGTAATGCAGAGCCTGATGTTGTGTCCATGTTATTTCAGCTGCTCGACCTCGAGAAGAAGCTGCAGGAGATGACAAAACTCCAAGACGCAAGCACGATGCCTGACCCAAAACCTCAAGACACTAGTAGCACGACGATGCCTGATCCAAAACCTCAAGGCACTAGTAGCACGGCGATGCCCGAACCCTCAAACAATAATCCAATCACAAGGGTTCTTCCTGCCACCCCTGTGGAGACAAACGTGGTGCCGGCTTGCGCGAGGGAGGACGCGATGAGCGAGAAGGCGCAGCAGCACCGACGCATCCTGAGGAGCTCCGACTCGGCCAACAAGCGGGTCCCCAGCTCCCTGTTTGCCCCGGAGGCGGCCGTTGTGAACGAGAGGAAGAGGAAAGGGGAGGAGAGCCACCCTCCTGCGGGTGCCGGTGGCAGGCAGAACGCCGGGCGGAAGAGGAGCAGCATGCAGGGTGAGGTCGAGAACCACGTCCCTGCTGCCGCGGCCGTGGCGAGGAAGAGGAGCCTGCAGGGCGGCGAGGTGAGGTCGAAGAGGGCGTCGATCCCGGCGCGGCCTTCAACGTCGGCGTCTTCGAGGGCCACGGCGGCAAGCGCTGCTGCTGCTCCTGCTGCTGTGCAGAGGGTGGTGGTGGCTCCTGGTTCCAGGGTGACCAGGCAGCAGCAGCAGCAGCAGCAGGCGGCGGTGGCGAGCAGCAACAAAACCAAGGGGTGGGTGAGGTGAGGTAGGCTGCTGCCTGCCTGCCTGCTGGGGCTGCCAGCGTTTAGGTGCGTGTGTGTGTGTTGTAGTAGATGAGATGATATGAGATGAGATGAGACGAGACGGGACGGGAAGCCATTGCATTGCTGTAGTGACTGATTTGTCTGTAACTTTGTTTGTTTGTAGTAGGGGTTTGGTTGCTGTAGTGTATTTGTACTTTATACTTGGTAGAGTAAGAAGATGGATTGGAGGCTCAACTTTGAGCTGAGCCACCCTTCCTTCCACTAGAACAAAAGACGATCATACATGTGTGTTGCTTGCAGTGAATGCAGTAATAATCAGTAAGAAGTATTGTAGCCTGACTGACTGACTGTCCGTGGTACTGCACTCACTGGCTGTTACTGTTACTGTTACTCCTCCTTCCCTGGCAAGTTACCAATACTTGCTGATTATTACAATAACAACAACGTGCTGTGCTGTGATGTGATGTGATTGATTAAAATGTTGTTACTGTAACATTTTAGTAACTTGCCAACATTTTCTATTTCAATTTTGTTTTCAGATTTTTGAATACCTATCTATAATGCTAGTAAATCGGTTTTCTCGTAAAACTAGCAGAGCAGCAGCAACAGCTGGCGTGCCTCACCCAACGAGGCGAGGGAAACACTAAGGCCCTCTTTGATTCGCAGGATTTTCAAATCGTAGGAATAGGAAAAGTATAGGATTGGAGTGGCATGCACACATGAATCCTACAGGATTAACATGGAGTGTTTGATGGCACAGAAAAAGCAAAGGAATTGTAAAAAGAGGTTGGAGTGGATGTTAGATTTCCTATGAAACGTAATACAAAAGATTTCATAGGAAAAATTCCTATGGGATCCAATCCTATGAATCAAAGGACCAACATAGGAAAAATTCTTAAGGATTTCAATCCTCCAGAAATCCTATAGAATTCCTTTGAATCAAAGGAGCCCTAATTTCTGGACCGCGGCGCTGAAGAGTATAGCCCAAGTTTACAAAGGATGCCTCAAGTTGCACCGATAACATGCAGTATAGATAGATAAATCTCAAAAGAAAAATAACATGCAGTATACATAGTATAATTCATTCATAAATAACATGTAAATATTTAAATAAAACAGAACAATTAATTCATCAGTAACGTGAAAATATTTTAAATAAAATAGAACAAATAATTCATAAATAGTGTGCAAATAATTACATAAAATAGAATAAAATGGCATGCAAATAATTATATAAAATAGCATCATGAATCCATAAATAGCATGTAACTAATAATTATATAAATAGAACAATTAATTCATAAATGGCATGCAAATAATTATATAAAATAGCATACTTAATCCATAAATAGCATGTAAATAATTATATAAAATAGAACAATTAATTCATAAATAGCATGCAAATATTCTAGCACAACAGTTGTTCAAATATAAATATTACATCTGAAAAAAGAACCGATGTTCAAAAAGTTGCCGGGCGCCAAGTGTTGTTCATCCACACACTTTGCTCCCCGAGTTCCATCCAACAATGCATCAACATGATGGCCTGCCCTCTATTGTTTTGTACGGTGTGGCAGCACACCCGAGCTATATGGTAACATGATCATCAAGTTGTAGCATTGAGTGAATCAACAAACTAAACAAGATGTAGAGCAAACACGAAGAAAAACTTGGGATCACCATGGTTGACATGCCCGGTGGCCACCTTAATTATTTTTCACCCGTGCGATCACCATGATGGGGGCAACGAATCCCCATTTGCGTTCATGGATCTCATGTGCAAGCTTCAGGGCGCGAGGCGCGTTTGCTCATGAACCAAGAATGCGTCGTCGCCCTTTCGGATGGCTTGCAGTCCATACCCACAAGAACCACAAGTCCTAGCGAAGTTTCTCTCGCCTCGAACTGACATTCACCTGTTTTGCAGCTTACGTCGGCGCGCGTGACTATGCTCTGCACTCTGTTCATCATGTTACACCAGCTACTCCGAGTCACTCGTTGTCTTGCCACTCACCAGGAGTTGTGAGATTTGTGTACTATAGTGTGTCTATGTTGTGTACTGTAGTGTTTGCGACGGCTAAGCCCTCACTTTTCATAAGTTGGTTCAATGGTGGGGGTGGGGGCATTGGCCCCCTCATCTTAACACATAGCTCTGCCTCAATGATAATTACTCTATTGTCTCTGCATGGATTCATGAATTTAGCGGGCCCGCCCGTCTAGCTCCACCGCTCTATCCCAATTTTGTCGGTTATATCGTGGACATGCGCTGTTTTGAGTTGGATATCGCTACACCGTAAACATTTTGAAAAAGGACCTTGAGAATATTAAATTGTCTGAACTAAAACTATTATTTTTTTATAGAATTTGTAAACATTTTTAAAAATGACCTTAAGCTCATTCTACGCCAAGGGGCGGTCATAGAAACCGAGCATGAAATAAAGTTAACCGAATCCTCGAGCATTTTTCTTTCTGTTGGTGTCACAAAATCTAGTTTCCATTATAATTAATTAATTAACGGAGTTAGCATTGTTTTTTTTATTGTTTGGATTGCTTACCACATGGTATTTCACGCCCCGGTGAACCGAAAAAAAGAAGTAGTGTTATAATGTTTAGATAGAGGGGCCATTGATTTGGTAAAGGCCCAAGGTTGGAAGGCCCACTATCACATCACATAGTGGGTTGGGCGTGTTATGTGCTGACGTTCTGCCTGCAGTCCTCCTACCCTAGTTCCCATCCCGAGCACACCCGAGCGGACCGCCGCCACCGCCGCCGCAACAAGAGAAGACCTTGCTCGCCGCCGTCTGCCTCTGTAAGGCGGCATGTGGATTCACGGCGGGTTGTAGGCCTTCGAGATCGCCGCGGAGGCGTTGGACAGAAAGAGCCAACCAGCTAAGTCCTTCCAGAACGATTAGCTTTTCACATGTCCAGAGACTTCCTCTCACTAGGGAGTGGAGGTGCTGGTAAATGTTGGGTGCATTTATTTATATTGAACATTTATACTTTGACATACTTTATCCGGTTCCTAAGTGTATGTCTTATTCTACCACAACCTTTAATGTACTATCTTTAATATTATCTTAGATATAAATAGTTGCATTAAATATGT